CCAAGTTAAGCATCATCTTCCAAGCCTTTGTTCGTCAGTACGATGAAAGCATACCGTCAAAACCGAATCTCAGCCCAGCACGGGAAACACAAAAACAAGCAAAATAACATCACCAGCCCAGGCGGTTCCATGTCGGAATGGTTTTCAGTCTTGGCACCCAACTCCTTGGAACTAAACCCAAAGGAACAAAAGATGACCGGAATAATTTGTAAGGACGTTTCCGAACATCAGTGCGAACAGGTGGATCCGCCATGTTTCCTATTTTAGATCCTCCCAAGCCCAAGTGGAACTGCTGGAATATGTGTGTTTCTCCGTCAGTATGGAGGGCTTGTGCAATTGGCCTCTACATCCGAGTCGTTTTGAGAGTCCATGCTCATCTGCAGGAAGGTATCTCTCATCATCCTCACCATGTTATTCTGCATGCTAATTCTTTTGCCGGTATCAGGAATTGTCATGTACCGAACTCATGAAGTCAACAGGACCGTCCAGTCTGTGCCTGGGAGGCACCGAAGCACCCACCACTGCAGGCTTTATCCGGTGCTGGACATCTTCGCCGCCACCGTGGCGGCACGGAACGCCCAGCACCGGTGGCTGTTTCGTACGTTTCACGCGGCCGGTGGAGGGGTGCAGGATCACTCAGCTGGGAGTGGCCCACCCGAGTGGCACCGATGTACGTCGGTCCAAACGGGTGGAGACGCTGTCTCGGTCCGGAACTGTCGGTGATGGAAGGGTCGGTCCAAGTGGAGATGGAGAAGAATCAGGACCAAGAGTCTTGTGGTCTTTACAGGGATGAACCTTCGTCATTCCAAAGCTACTTAGTAGCAGTGGGCCAGTTGTATCATTTGGTCTTTCAGTGTACTGTGTAACAGCATTGTAACAGCTTCAAGAGCAAGTACCCCAGTCTGTGGCGAAAGACATTTCCTTGAAAAGGAGGTCCTTCAGCTTGTGGTTTCAGCAAGAATAAATACTCGATCCCAAACACCTACCAGTTTTCTTTCATTTCACCCACTGACTGACCACAGCCTTTCCTGCCGACCTCACTCATTTCAACCCTTGTCTCTTGAGGTGGAGCTGGTTCCGGAGGCCATCATCCAAAACCTCACAGGCCGCGCACGGGAGTGAGCACCTTTTGGAGCCTGTTCCGGCTTGGCATTTCAGGATATTTTGAGGGTGAAAGATGGTGAAAAGGGAGGATGATTGATGAACCAGAGGAGGGTTTTGTGAAAATCATGGTCTTCGCCATCACTTCGAGCCGATGGGAGTGGAAAAACCTCAGATAACTTGTTGCGGATGCCTCTCAGAGTCAATCTTCTCAAGATCAATCAAGATCATACAGTCTGTATTCATACTATTCATACCAGGACCGACACCAAGAAGTGTCTGTAAATAGCATCTTAGAGGTGAAGAGCTGTCCTCAAACCACCTGTTGGAAGGTCCTGGTACATGAGTTTGTTTCTGTGCCAATTCATGAAAGACTCACAGTTTGCTTCCAGGAGATCAGAGTGCCTCCACCATTGCCCCCGAGTGAGAGCGTCCTGCGGTTCTCCTGTGACGACGAGCCAGTCTCGTCCCAACGCATGGTGCGGAACAAATCGGTCAGGGTCTCTTATCCTTTCAATGCAAAGCCTTCTCGGTACTAGTCATGACACGTCCACCTCTCTATTATATATACATCTACCACCAGTATTCCGGCATTCCGGGCTTGTTGGAGGCCTTGCCACCAGATGCCACGGGTTTGACCCAATTAACACGCATGAAAGGACAAGACCGATGTAGAGATCTTGTAATCGCGGGAGACCGCTCAACAGAATGCTCAGGTCAACAGATGTAGAGATTATACATCGCGGGGAGAAACTCATATAGTGAAGTTTAGAGATCTGTGGCGACAGATGGTGACAGAAAAAAAGCTGCCTGGCATCCCAACCTTTGCTCGGGCCATCCAAGCATCGCCTCATAAGTAAGGTAGGTGGTAGTCCAAGAACCCTGCATACCTTTCTAGCCACTTCGTAGAGCACACACCGATATTTCCGCTGCTGATGGTGAGAGGTGGTGTCCATTGGCCAAACAGGTTGTCTTGCTTGAGCGTGCTTGAGACACCCTCATCTTGTGTGACAGATTGCCTTATTCCAGTGGAGGTGCAGCTCCCACGAATATATTGACATTCTGCCACACATTCTGCACGCGGAGCGCATGGCTCTTCATTACACCAACGACAGCACGCTTGACGCACGCTCCACGTGGGCGATGCCTTGGTCCCTTTCGAACTGCACCCGACGGACCATGGCACCCTGGGGTCCCACCTGGCAGGTCCAAGCTCAGCAGATTCCTCTCATGGACCATGTCAAGCTACTTGGGCGTCCTCGCAAGGTTGGAACCATGGATGTCTACCATGTCATGGTTTGCTTGGGGAGGTTTTGACTCAAAGTCAAATGACGGAGTGTCTCTTTCTCAAAGCAGGCAACCATTCATTCCACAACAATGTAAGATATACATATAGCTGTGGGTCGAAACTAGCGATACATTAAGTCGACCATTCTGGACCCCTTGAGGGTGTTGTCTTCTTTTTCACCCGTGTCACCCGTGTTTTGACACCCCAATGGTTTTGTCATGTTCAACTGGGTGGTGGTTTCAACTATCCCTATCCAATTCCTTGGCTTCTGAATCTAGTGGATCCATAGAACTCCGTGTCATCCCATCTGAATCCAGTGGACACCTCCGCCCGAATTCGCAGAGTTTGCTGCGGACATTTGCTGGTAGGTTTGGTCAGCCGAAACACGGAGGGCTGAAATCGCGTGGTGGGCCAAGAGGCATCCGTTCTTTCAGAGGACAACAAATCCTTTCGGGAGAAACACGGTTGACATGAAACATGGTTTGTTGGCCACAAGAGAGACCATTGTGTAGCATAGTAGCAACACTAATCTCCAGTCATAATGTTTATCAACATGTGGCTATCTCAGCCAATCTCACTTGAATGACAAGCATTGGAACACTCCCGGCCTGTTGGGCTGCATACTGAGAGCGTAACACCACAGGATGTCACAGAGTGTCTTCAGATGAGATGTTCCTCTTCTATGTGATTCAGGCATCAACCAGCAAGTTTGTGATTCGGGCACTGCAGTTCTGAGTTGCTTGTTGCTGGACCGTCTTCCATGTTGAAGCATGGTAGATAGCGTCCAGATGTCAAAGCTTGTTTCTTGATGTTTTTTGCCATTCCAAGCCATTCCATTCGACTAATGCTTACAATGGTTGACCAGGTTGTAGTGTACAATCCTTAGTAAAGCAATGGTTGTTTGGTATAAAGACTCCTAAAATCAGTGGTTCTTGGGATTCCGATGTTTTTTCTTCCCCCCCCCCTTTGGGCCCCGCTGGCCCGGGGGATGAGCCTGTTCTTTCGACTTCTGCTGCGTAGATGTTCAGAGGGAGACCCCCCAAGATCTTGCCGGCTGGGTAGACTGGTCTATCTCCCGAAGCTTCCCCTGGGAGGTCTCCCTATGTTTAAGACATACCCATATTATTGTCAAACACAACGCCATTGGACTAAGACCCGCGCATTTCGGATTCGTTCCTTTGCAGGGAAGTACGAGGGTGGAGACGGAGAAGATGCCCACTGTTTGAAGAGAAGATGAGGGTTGCAGTGAGCCGATAGAAGCGGTTTCCAATACTGTATATATTTAGTGAGGATCCGTTTTTTCTATCTATTTGGGACCACCATACATCAACCAAAATGGAGTTGCTGACATTGTGCTGTTGGCCTGCTATGCCTGGAATACCTTCTTCATGCAGTGTGAACAAACAGCCTGCGAAGCGTGGTGAAGGTCAATGTGGGAGATTGCATTTGGCAGTGTGGCAAAATCATGGGAGGCACCATATTGAACTGAGTTCTGCAGAAGATGTTGATTTCTATAGTGAGGTACTGTCAGCGCATATTTGCTTGAATCTGCAAACACCCGCCTTTCGTGGCTGCAACATAGATTGACTAGAAGCGATGCGTCTCACGCGAACGCCGAAAAGATGGCGTACGCGGAGGCATCAAAAAGGCCGCCACTCGCTGCTGCTGAAGTGGTTGGTTTTTCAAGTGAAAGCTTCAGAGATGTTGGTGATGTTGTCCGTTGCAGCCTTCTACCAGTCTACTACTGTGGAACAGTTTCGCATGATCAGTTTGCCATGGTATCCTTTCAATACCCACTTGGTTGGTCGGCTTTAGTCTCTCAACATGTCGTGTTCTCTCCTTGATGCCGTAGGAGTTGAGCCAAGACCGTTTGGCCATGTTTCGCCACCACCATGCGCCACTAAACGCACAGCAGGGTCTCACTCTAAACTCTCTGGAACCAAGGCGCCTTGGAAGACCATGTTCCTCTACAAACAGGAGGTTTGCCATGTTTGTTCCAAGGATGGCGTACATCCCTCAAGCTCAGGATTCACCTGCACCCATTTAGGGATGTCCCAGCCAATATATCCTGGTTGGCTGAAAGCATGTTGGAGCTTGGAGGCAACCGTGTGGGGGGTGCTTTCCAGTGGTCATAGTATACCCATGCATCCCATCAAACTGAATTTGAGGTTCTTAAGACATTCTTTTCCAAACCTCCCTCGCACATTGTGAGACATGTTGAAAGGGGCCACTGCAGGAGCAAGTGAGCAGATTGAAGTCTTTGGCCGCTCTTCATGGCTCATTTGCTGGAGAAGTAGAGAAAGATCACTGACATGGAGCAGTTGTCGACAAGTTATCATCGAATTGCAGTTCTTGGCATGTGGCATGTTTATCAATTTCAAGTGGTGAATGGTTTATATAGTTCTCCTAGTCTTTAAAATTGAAAGGAATCATACGGCCCTTTTTCAGACTAGGTGAACCTCTGTGGTTTGTGCACCCCTTACAGACTCATGTGTCTCATGTGCTTGATGCAAATTCAGGTGCAGAAACTATGAGGTGCAAGAACCGATTGTTATTATTTTTTGCCGGTTTTCTTAAGTTCATTCTTCATCCAGCACTTCGACCTCCGAAAGAACGACGTTTGGGGTGTCGAGACCTCGTCTCCTCCACTCACGGTCTGGCGGTCGAGACTGTGCCCCCCCATGGACCCGCGCGCGGCGTTTCGGCACTTCGCAGGCGGCGGTTTCGGGGCACCCGAGCGCTAGTTCCTCCAAGGTCATCATCGGCACCCTGAGCGCTGGAACTACATGGTAGAACTGTTAACTTTAAATGACTCCCAGACACTCCATGGGACTGCCATGTATGCCGATCAGTTGGGGTGGTTTTGGGGGTCAATGTAGGCACATATGGCAAATTTGGAGCGTTTGGGACTGATAATTTTATAAATATTACATATGTTACTGTAAAGATACACGAGACGCAGTTATCAAAGTTTTGGGTCGAGGCCCTGATGGTTGGGGACTATCATCGGTCACTGTAGGGTCCAATTCGCAACAATGTGTTCCGCCCCTTTGTGTTTTGTTGGCAGAACTGGCTTGTAGGTGGTTGAAGGTGAGTTCATTTTGAGCAGAGGTCCTACTCTAGAAGCAACTGGAAGGATACTTGGCATATATAAACTTGGATGGATCTGGATTTGTTTTGAAATACGGAGACTTCCCAAAGAACCTTGGGAAGAGGATAAATCGACGAACAAACCTACAGGTCGTTGAAGGGTCTCCCTATTCTGAGACACCAACTTCTGGCCACGCACTTGGGAGTTCTCCCCTTTCGGGTTCGTCGCTTGAGTCGGCTTGGGCAGCTGGACGGAAAACACAGCCTCCAGTCGGGACAGAAAATCACCACAGATTCGGATACCGTAGGTCTTAGGTAGGTTGTTTATGAATGCTATTGTATGCTTATAAATTATATGTTTGCTAGTAACATCATGCATGATTACATGCTATCATTCGTCTAATTACAAAACACTCCCGAAAAAGCTTGTACACTCTCTGAGGTCCCGCTGCACCATCTGGTACCCCGAGTCCGACGACCTTTTTTTTTCCGCTGCACCGGCCGTTCGAACGGTGGGATCCGTACGGCCCGGGTCGGTGGTCCGAAAAGGCGTTTCTCGGCCGGAACGAGGAGATGGCGGGCGCTTGGATTTGGATTCCTTAAGCAACTTGGCTTGGTGTGCCAGATTTTGGATGTTTATCAACATCTTGATATATATATATACTCCCTGTCCCTGGCCAGATACATGAGTTGTCTCTTTTTTCTGGGGTGGTGTTCCTAGTGTTAGAGCATCAAATGATGCACTGCAGGTTATGCTTAAGCGGTATGATATTCCCGGTTCTAGCAACGGTTAGTTTGCTCCTCTTTGTTTTTATTGATTGATTCTCCGTGAGCTGCCAGCTGCAGCGTCAAGCCTTTTTGCTTGATGTTGTTTGCGGGCTCTCGAAGCATGGGATTTAGATTCCCTCAAGACAGATGCTTCAGAAAGCTAGCCTATATGTGTCTTTTGATCGGGCGTGAAAAAAGACAGTCATGGTCATAGCACAGACGTCGGTGAATCCTGAATTGAAATCATGTCGGTAGGTGGTACAGTGACATGAGCCAGAAGCACTCATATTAATTGGTATTGAACCGCACGAGAGAAGGGGGCTCAGCTTTGGCTTCCCCAGAGGTCCCTAGCAGACTGTTGCTTTCGCACAAGTGAACATCCTCAAGTGAGCTGAGTCTTTTTTGTACATGAAAGGAATTATATGGAGGTTGTCCTGTGGTTTGTTCGCGTAAGCAAATTGGCTTGGGGGTGTAGGCTCGCGTAGGCTTACAGATGGCCGTGGTAGTGGCAGTCGTCGTAGTCGTCGTCGTAGAAGAGTGAAACCCAATGGCAGCGTAGACAAAAACACACCAGCAACACAAAAGCTGCATCACGTATGCTTCGCGTAGACATGCTTCAACTACCGCTGTCTCGCGTAGGCAAACACTGTGGTGGCGTAAGCACGCGTAGGCTCCTAGCGTAGGCACCGACAAATTACAACACTCCACATAACAAAAAAGAACGCTGCTCAAGTGAACAGATGGGTTTGATTCGATCATATCTTCATTCCTACTGACAAAAAGACTTGGACATGCTTTTCATTGGCACCAGATGAGTTTGCCTTGCTGAGCGTGAGGGGCCCAATATGTTTTGTTACTTCATAGATCTTCTGGCCAAGGTTGAGGCCAACATGCCATGATTATTCTTGCGTCGGTGTTAAATGACAGGTGACCGAAAGCACTTACACAAGCAACCGGCAGGTAAACTTTCAATTGATAGACTTTTTTCTTGAACTCCTTGGACCTTCTTAAACCAATTCCTGATGTCAATGTCAATATGTTTTTGAGTGTCAAATATTCGGTCCCACCACCAACAACTCTTTAAGGTTGTGCCGTGATCGCGGTCTTCGGCTTCAAGTTCAAGAAGCAGGACGAGACACACCACACAACGCAGGGGGGTAGCTGGCATCATATTTTGGAGCATTAGTTTATCCAATTTAGAGTTATTTGGTGGTTGCCATGAGCCATTGATTTGCTGCTCTTGGATGTTTCCGTGCCGGCAGCCAGTCCCTTAAAAGGGTGCTTTTTACTTATCTCGATTTCGCATTCCTACCGACCACACGCTGAACTAAGCCGTCGTGGGCCATTGCCCATTGGTCGCCCCGTCGTTGATCCCGTTCGCCACCGCTGTGAGTGATCTCGGACGCCGAGGCGTCGAGTGATGTTTGGCAGGACCTGAGGGATCTCATGGAACAGTACGCGTTCGGGGCCCTGGCTGCCCTGCGCTGCTTGCTGTGCCTTCTGGATGCAGCTTGCCAGGTTGATCGGTATTCGCAATCAGTGTCAATTGAAGAGAACACAACGAGGCAGAAGGAAAGGAAGGGTCTTTACTTCTGGACAGGGTTTAGAACTAAATGCTTACTTGCTGTCAATGGTTGAACAACACTTTGTTTATTCAACTACTAAGTATTACTAAATGTTGTCACACCATGTCACACAAAACATTGATTTTGTTTCTGCCATTGTATTGTACAGTTTTGTGATCAGATACAATTATATATATATACTTGCTTTCGACCTGTGACCAGCTGTTCCTTCTCATGTTTACATGCTCAGGCTTCTCAAAGTTTCATTTGTTACGCGCGACAATCCGTCCTTCCCGGTCTTGACCCCTGCAAACTCCCTGCCAATGTGTGGTGTTGTGGTGCTTTGGTATCACTACAGTAGTCACTATACCAATGTTCTGCCAATTTCAACAGCGCTAAGTTCAAGAGCTCCGAATGCCGTAAGTACAAAGTAAGACCAGTTTAAACTGAAAACGTAAGGGTCAACTCTCATAAATGTTGGTCTGTGATACACCTAAGTATCACATGCTTTGGATGGGCTTGTAGCCATCAAGTAGATAGCAGACATGATGATCCAAAATCACATTTGAAGGCGGAGACAACACTGGACATGTTCAATGTATCCACTTGAGGGATCTGATTTGTCTCGATTCGATGACAGACGTTCGATCAAAATTATTTTGCACCATCACTGCAGGTCTGAATCTGGCCTCAAGATGGAGGCCAAAAGGGTGACTGTGGTCATTACCTTGGCGTGGAGTGCTCTCATGACTTGTGAGCCATATGAAGCATAACACGCGGTGGCTTGCACAGGCACAAGTTGTGCAGGGACAGCTTTTGTTGAGAATAAGTTCGGCAAACAATGACCCCCAAAGCTGTATAACCATTGGGAATCCCATCGCAAAGGGATGCAGAAAGGTTCAAGAGTCAGAAGCTCTGACGCTGGAGCGGAACACTGGTGCTTCCACTGAAGCCGCAGGTAATTGCCAATCAGCGATTTTCTTGTTTGCCATTGCATTAAGATTCATGGTGGATATGGTGAAAGCAGTTGCAAGCGATTCCTTCATCCAAGTAGACACTTCCGCAGGCCAAGAGCAAATAAAATGTATTCCCCGCATCTAGAATTAGTAATCACCCTATAAATCGAAGTTGCAGAGGCCAGCGCTGCAAGTGCAAAGGTCCACTGCCTAGCTAGCAGTTCTGTTTTGCCTCGCGTGCAGTTCTTGAAGAGTGCAAGCCCAAACCCTCAATGGTCACATTAAAGTAGCTAGGATCATCTTCCCAGTTCCTTTTGTTCGAATTGGCATGACCACAATGGATGTTCTTTTGATATACGCAATGATTCGCAGGGTATGATCAAGCAAGTAGCTTGTGACCATCACAGCTACCTGACTCCACCTACATTCCAATGTTTGGCAGGGGTTGTGGTGTTTCGCGTGTCCAGTTCATTTTTGGTCACAGCAAGACGGATACAAACAAAGACACATAATACAGCAAAGGTCTCGTTTGTTGGAAGTTAGATAAAGTTAGTCTCATGTGTTTGGTTCTTCCCTAAACAGTGATCCGGTGGCCACGTGTTAGCGACAGTAGCGACATAAACATATGTGGTAACAAATCTGGAAAGCATCCCATGATTGTAGGGGGGCCCAACCATACCATGGGATTGTTACAAGTTACAAGGTCTTGTCCTCAGGGCCTGACTGACATGGGATCCTGAACATCGGGTCTTGAATTGAAAGGCCTAGAGCCTTGAAACTCAGACTCACCACAACCCAGAATTGCGAGGAACTGACGAACCCTTCAATCTGCCGCTGTGAAATCCATCCGGTTCGTCCCTTCGGTGCACCGTCCGCCCCTTCCCTTGTCGTGCGGCTAGCGGCCTTCACCGGTCCCCTGGTCCCCCGGGCGAGGCCTTCCTGGCCCTGGTGGAAGACCGGAGGCCAACCGGTGAGTCCGGTCGCCGGTCGCCGGTGGATGCTTGGAGGGTTCGTTGGAGCTCGGAGGCCCGGTGGAGCTCGGTTGACTGGATCGGATCATACAGAAAGACGTTGTTCAAAGAAGAAAAGGACCAGGTGTTCCTGAATCTTTGGGCTTGTAGGGCTTGCTATTGTTGTGATCAAGTCACCCCGTGGGTTGTGTTGTAGATGTAGGTGCGAGCATCAAACAGTCTCAAAAAGAAGGTGTACTCTCATTCCAGACATCGAGTAACGATCATCAAATGTCCTTTGTAGGGCACTGATTGGAGGGTCACCATCTGATGCACGCCTATACTAGGATAGTTATTTGCGATTGACATTCATCCCGCACGTTTGTGTGAAATGTGAAACATGTGCCATGCTGTTGAGAAACCTTCATGGTGCACCTGTCAGGATTCCCCTTGGCAATGGATACATAACGCGAATACTCTTTCTGTGCCAATTGACTGACCCATACTAACCCTATTAATTATACTACCCTATGACTATGACTCGACTATGACCCTATTGTAAAATCTCAAACTTTCAGAAACGCGATGCATTGCATGGTCCTATTCTGTCATTTTAATATTAGTTTGAGGCCAAATGTGACAGTGTGACCGGCTCGAGGAGGGTCTTTGGAGAGCGTGATAGAGCGCTAAGATTGTCGGGATCCCCATCGGTATCCGCAAGTGAGGTACTGTGCTGTTTGTAGCCCAAATTGGATTTGCAAAGGGGCAGCATGCTGATGTTGAAGAAAGACCCTTTGGAGGATTTGGAAGTTATATAGTTTTCCTTACTTGACGTGGTGTACAGATTCTGACCCTTTGATTGAGAATTCGGCTTTCAAGACGGTGCGCTTGTTTGGTTTTGTCAACAGAAATGAAATGGCATGAACGTGATGCACAAGTCTTGTGAACAGTGTCAACAAAATCCCCGCATCCACATTCACCGGACTTGGACTTGGATCGTGTGTATCTTTTGTAGGTTTGTTTCGCTATGGATGTTGCAGTGGAGAAGCAAAAAATGTACTTGCAAACAGACGGGTTGGAGGGCACCTTGGGCTCAGGAGTTAAGGCTTGCATGCCAAGGGATAAGAACAGTACCGACAGTACCTCCTAAAAGCATTTAAAAGCATGGAAGCAGGTTCACCCGCGTTCAGTTTGCAGCAGGACATGGTTTGTTGTGTTGCTGCCATGTCATCCTTGCATCCATTTGCACTCTAGCCGCAGCTTTTCTTCCTGCGGAGAGCAGGGCCCATAGTCGTCGGGCGGATGATCTCAGCATCTCGAGTTGCAGCATTCTTGCAAAGGCCCATTGGACCACTTGTGGCCGGTCCAAACATGTCGGGCTTGTCACGCCATTCATTTGACCCATGGCGTTGGACTTCCCTGGTAGGTCCATGCCATGGCATCCCATGTCATGCATTTTCCACGTTGTCCAAAGCTGAAGACCATTCTGTGTTGAAGCAATTGAAGGATGAGGAGGATGAACTGAAGCAGTATGTGGACACATTGGTTTGGCCAAAGTTGACTTGCTTCCAAGCGTTCGGCAAGACATACAAATTGCCATTGCGAAGCCGGATTGCGAGCAAGTCCCCTACAGCAGCTGAGTTGGCGTACCTGGGTGGTTTCTTTGACGGTGATGGGTGTGTGACTCGTGAATATAGCTTGTCAGGCTGTATGCTGCAAGTAGCACAGCTGGCAATCAATGCCGAGGTCCTAATTCTGTTTCGACAGTTTTTGGGAGGAAGCATATGTGCAAAAGATCAAGGCATGGGAATGCGACAGCCAACACTGCAATGGACTGTCCATGGTGGGAAGGCTAGAGCTGCAGCGAGGCAACTGAGCAATGTTTGTTTGAGTAAGGCGGAGCAGCTGCAGCTGGCCATCAATTGGCCGGATGACAAAGATGCACGGCAATTGGTGGCAGACAAGCTACAACAGTTAAAGCGCAGCCCTCCCAAATTTCGAAGCAAGTCTTCATGGGCACATTTGGCTGGGTTTTTTGATTCAGATGGTTGCATTCATATACGTTCGTATGGGGCATATTTGTCGCTTGATATTTTTCAGAAGTATGCACCTCTTTTGCTTCAAAGTAAGGTCTTCCTTGATTTGAAGCTTGGAGCATCACATGTTCATGTCCAACAATGTCGTGGAGGATACGAACTGGCTGTCTATGACCAGAAAACTGTATACATCATACTCCAAAAGCTTTTCAATGCTGGCTTGATTGTCAAAAGGGCCACAACTGAGCTCGCGCTGTCTCTTCCTGAGAACTCCCACCTGGCTATTCGTGAGAAGATGAGTGTCGCAACCACTGGCAATCAGGGGCGATACGCCAGACTGGATGCGGAAGGCTGCAAACGTGCCAAGCACATAAAGGGTCTTCAGACTTCCAAATACAACGCCCAACGGAAGAACGACGCTGACTTGGTGGCACAGCTCCAGAGCCAACTTGCAAGCTTGAAGCTCAAGCACGAGATAGAGAATGCCAAATGTCGCATATGTCGTCGGAGGCTGGACATCCAGCAGCTGCTGGCGTCGTACGCATCAACACAGCCGAACTTGACTGATGCGCTTGACTTGAAACTGCTTGGATCTGAACATGACTTGAAACTGTTTGGATCTGAGCATGACCTGAAGTTTTCACAGAAAATGACCTCACTTACACTGCCATGGCATTTTGCCCAAGCAACCCTAAGGGAGAAGCATGTTTGCTTAGCAATGGGTTAACTGATTGTGATTCCAACATTGAACTGCACAAGAGCAACCATTGGTGCTGAACTCTTTTCTCTGTTTTGGCTGGCCGCTGGCCTGTGTGATGCATTATGTCTTTGCCCTCAACACCAAGGTACAAACCCAGTGAATGTTTGTCATTTGTTGTACAATTTTGCTCGGGAAAGTATGTACCGCAGAAACCATGTTGTGTTGTGGTGTTTGAAGTGGTACATGTTTCTTCTGCAGGAATTGCACAAACATGATGTTTGGACCACTGGATATATGGATCAAGAGCGCCCATTCCCATTCAAAACCAACTCTTTTGACATGTATTGGTCCACTGGGAAGTTTGTATTTTGTGGGTTTGTTTAGCTCTCTAGAAATTGGAGAAGGGTGCGTAGCGCGGGCTTGCGGCTTACAATCACGTGAACATAATTCTGTTTGTCGGCCCAAGATCAAAGTTGAGGGAGGACAGAAACGTCCGCGCATGTTGATTCCATAGTAGGAAGAGCAGGAGTTGTCAAGACAGTTTGTTGTGACCTCATCCCTGTATGACTTGGTGCTCCACCGAATCGGCTGCTTGCCTGTGAATGCTGAAAACATGTCGGTAAGGTGGATGGGCTCAGCATCGCGGCCGACAGCATTCTCGCGAAGGGTTGTCGGACCACTGGTCGCCCTCCTGGTGATATGGTGGGAAGTCCATTGCCGTGCGTTTTCCGTGATGTCCAAAACTGAAGACCATGATCTCTTATTGAAACTGTTGAAGGAAGAGAGAGCTCGACTGGAGACATATATGAGGACGTTGCGTTGGCCCAGGTTGACCCACTTCCAAGCATTTGGCAAGACATACAAATTGCCACTGCGAAGCCGGTTGGCGAGCAAGTCCCCTACAGCAGCTGAGTTGGCGTACCTGGGTGGTTTCTTTGACGGTGACGGGTGTGTGACTCCTGTGACTGGCTTGTCAGGCTGTAAGCTGCAAATAACACAGGTGGCCATGAACGCTGAAGTCCTAATCCTGTTTCGGCAATTCTTTGGAGGAGGTGTTTACGTGTGTGAACACGGCAAGGGAAGGAAGCGGCCAACACTGAAGTGGGTGGTTTGCGGTGGGAAGGCTAGAATTGCAGCGAAGCAACTGTGTCAAGCTTGTTTGAGTAAGACGGAGCAGCTACAGCTGGCCAGCAATTGGCCGGATGACAAAGATGAGCGGCAATTGGTGACAAGCAAGCTACGAGGCCTAAAGGAAGGCCCGCCAAACATCCCAACCCAGTCAAGGCTTTCATGGCCGTATTTGACAGGCCTGTTCGATTCAGATGGTTGCATTTCTTTGCATTCGTGCCGGGCGTCTTTCACACTTAGGCTTGATCAGAAGTACAAGCCTCTTTTGCTTCAGAGTAAGGCGTTCCTTGATTTAATGCTTGGAACATCACATGTGCATGTGAATTTTGTTTCAGTGACAGGAACATACCAATTGGCAGTCTGTGGCCAGAAAACTGTGCACGCCGTACTCCAAAAGTTTTTGAATGCTGGTTTGACTGTCAAAAAGTCCAAAGCTGAGCTTGCGCTATCTCTTCCTGAAAATTCCGAAGAGACTATTCGAGAGCAAATGAGTGGTATCACAACCACGGGCAATCAGGGGCGACACAACAAACTGGATGCTGAAGGCCGCCAACTTGCCAAGCTCATAAAGGGTCTTCAGAACAGAAAATGGCATGCCGAAAAGAACGATGACAGCAAGTTAGTCGAGCAGCTAGAGAGCAAACTTGAATGCCTACAACTGCACCGTGAGATCGAGAAAGCCAAGTGTTGCGTGCATCGTTTGACTGAGGACATCCACAAGTTAGTGGCTCAAGGTGCCATATCAACCAAGCCACATCTTGCTAAAATGCTGGGGATCGATTTCAACTGATGTCGATCTCTTGTCCACGCAGGAAAAAAGACCTTGTTTGCACCAAGCGTCATGCGGAATCGGATTGGTCGACCCGGGCTGATCTTGTTTGAGCAATGTAAGGAGGTCTGCGGCGAAACGGGTAGCGAGAACAGTACATGCGACATCAACATCCATGTGCAAATGTGCAACCACCTCTTTGGCTATCCTTTGTTTTCTGTAGCATAGAACCACCATGTTAGTTTCCAGCAGCATTGTTTCCAGCGGCTTTCCAATTGGTTTATAATTTACATCGCACAAGTGTGAGCCCAGCTATGATACCTGACCTATTTTGTGTATGCCAGGTGATGATGGATTTTTTTGGATGAATTCCAACATATGCTCAAATCCATGGTTTGCAGTGACAGTGAGAGGGGCTAATCTTTGATTGAGGCTTGCTTGGGTTGGTTGGGGTTGAAACCCCTCCAGTCATGTACAGGATAGGCCTTCTATTCCTGGGTTTTGCATTTCACACGTTTCATGTGCCATGTGCAAGCTGGGTTTGTGCAGAAAGGCTGCAAAAAACTAGACTCTAGACTCTTGACTGGAGGCGCTCGATGTCGCCCAACCCAACCTCCCAACGTAGAGTCGAAGAAGCTCGCGGACGCTTCCTCCAGCAACGAAGCCTGTGAGTTTGGCCAACGTGAAGGACGTGAAGGATGAAAAACAGAACCCTGGGATAGATTGCCGCCTTATTTCCGGCCAGGTACTTGAACACCAGGGAACTTGTGAGTCTGAGGTTACCATGAACTTTAAGTATACTTACTTTACTATTTTTACTGAAACACCTGAAACGTGGGAACTTGCGAGTCTCTGAGGTTCTCAGCATTGGACGTGAAGGATCAAGGCTTCCTGGATGTCAAGAGTTTTCACGAGCTGTCCGGATCGCTCAGAGAGATCTTTTTGTGGGGGCAGATGTTTGCGCAGACCTGAACAATATTTCTTTGTCAGAACGTCTCGAGAAAATGGTGTTTGCATGGTTTTGCTAAGTGGTGAGTACGGTCCAACTTTTTACATTCAGTCGGGACATGTGTATTAAAAGTTTTCGGACTGCAAAATGTGCTTTGTTTTTGTCAAGATGTTAGCCAAAAGCAAAGCACTGCACAAATCTAACGCTAAGACCATTGATGCGGTAGTTTTCCAAGGTCAGCCCTGCAACGTGTGATGTTTGTTTGGCACGGCACATCAACTCAACTGCAGGAGAACCAAACCAGAATTTACAGAGCCATGGCCATTGGGCGTGGTGACTTTGTAACCTAGTTTGCGTCATAGAGACTTCCTACATCTAAAGGATAATTACTCAACCTTTGGTAAAAGATTATGCGAGATGTCCATGTGACCATGTGTTCCTCCAGAACAGATTGCAAACCATTTGTTATTTTTACATGTTTTACTTGAAGAGCACTGATATCGTTGAAACCAAAGAAAAAGAACACTGCAGAAAACAACGACACCCACATCCAATTGGCTCCCGGCCCCCCCAACATCCGTTCCGCCGCGTTCACCGCCGCATTCACCGCCACGCGCTCCGCGGCCCGACGGGCCGTGTCGTGCCCAGGTGCCTGGAAACCTGCCGACCCTTGGGCGCCCAGAGCACCGAGCTCTTCCGGGACATGGACCGCTCCAAGGCGACCGGAACGCAGAATCGCCCGGAATAGGATGGTGGTGAAGGTGGAGGATGGTGGAAGGTGGGAAGGGTGGTCATGTGATTCACTCCTAGGTTGTTTATCTATGGTAATTTATGGTTGATTTTTGTGGGGAACTCCTGGATGACTTGTTGATTTGCTGCAAGTGTGTTGAAATCTTGATTCGATCTTTGGTAGGAGTGATTGGTTGCCGTTTGTGCCTACAGATCAAGCTTTGTCCATCATGCGACCAACCCTTGCGCTGTACAGTGTAATGACCCATCAGCTTCACCCTTTCCCACTTTCAGCCATGCTTCGAGATGATTTGCGTTCCCAAGTTCCTCTCACTTGCAAATATTATATACTCAGAACCTCAGTGACCTCTATTTTGGATCACCTACCACCCTAAATTGAGGGTGTTTTTTTCCTGTGAAATTGTCAAAGCAGGTGTCAAGTGGGCTTCAGGTATAATAGCATCGAGATGCATAGGCTAGCTGCATAGACATATATGAACATCTTCCTTTCTGGTCCGAACGCACCCAGGTCCAATCAGATCAACCACCGACCCACCGGCCAGTCTGGTTCCGTGACCTTCTCCGATTTCGAAGCCTACTTAGCGGGCGACGCCTCACCCTCCTCACCCCGCGCGGACCGCGCGGTGAGCGCGCGGACCGCGCCGGGCGCGGTGAGCCGGTGAGCTGAGACGACTTGGGTTTCATGGAGAACGACGGAAAGTCGACCCATGAGTTGGTTTCTTCCCCCAGTGTGGACACACTGTTTGGGCTTCTTACGGCAGTTAAGCACCGGTGTTGGAAAACGACCATCATCGACCCAGAAACACCCAGCGCACCCAGGGGCGCCCCTGGGGCGCCTGGAGGCAACTCTTGCAGTTTCTCATTTCTACCCATGGGGGACATGTTCCATGGTTTTGCATGGGTCTGAGGGTCTCCATGACATCGATTTGTCGATCAGTTGGAACGCTTTGCCATGCAAAGGGTTGGGGATATCTGATGCAAAGCCATCTGATTGCTGAAGTTGTTCAAAGCCAATGCAAAGTTTCTCAAGCTTCTTTAGAGCAAGAAAAACTGCTTGGATGGCAATGGCTCACAGGGCTTTGGGAAATGACCGGCCACCAGCCAAAGACAGACTAGACGGCCATGGCTTCCCAAAATGAACGACTCAATATGTATCCAGAAGTTTTAGCCCGGTACTATTGGGGTCGGTGAGTTTTTTCCCGAAAGCATTGCGAAGGGTTCTTCCGGAAAATCCTTTGAACACTGACACTTCGACACTTACACTTCGACACTCACACT